GGGGTTGCGCATGCACTGAGGCTTCTGAGGCATCCTCTCAAAGCAAAAGCCACGTCTGCCTACAGACGGATGGGAAATTCATTCCATTGAGTAGGTGTTCCAGATTTACCCAATTTACACCTCTCATGCCTGTAAATGAGCCAAGACAGTGTTGCAGACTGAAATATGCATTTTTACAAGCTTTTGAATGAAGCTCATCTTGGGGAAAATGCTATGCAAAAAAGGTGCCTATTAGAAAATGTGTGCACAACATATATTTATTTGGGGGAAAAGTGCACCAAATGCAGACTTTAGGAAATCCAAGAAATCTTGAGCTTGGGTAGAAATGGGAGAGTATAAATGTGACCTTAAAATCCATCCATTCTGGTGAAAAGGAGACTGACAAATCTGTCAAGGCTTAGTGCTGTCTCAGTAAAAAGCTACTCCTGAATGTAGGGGCACCTTCAGAGTGACATCCGACATGGAACTTAAAATGTAAGGGGACATACAGGCACGGAGCTACTGTTCAACCTGTGTCTACCCATTCTAGTTCAAGCAGCCAGCATTGTCTAACTCATTCTTTCTCCCATCCTTCCTCCTCAGACGGGTATGCTTTTTTATGCATCTGCTGTAGCTGCACTGTTTGCAGGAAAACATGATAGCGAGGCTCTCCACACATACCCTTAAGCTCAGTTGGGTCAACGTGATGGACGCTTAAATCAGAACTGCAGACTCCTGCCCATGGTGAAATCTCAATGTGTAAGTTTTACTCTACTGGAGAAAAATATTTCAAAGATGGTCCTCTTTTGAGGAAATATTATATTTTACATGTATGATAATGATGACAACTTAGATACCTTCAGGGATGAGGGTTTATAAAAAATAGTTTGTATCCATTTTAATAGAAAAAATGATGAAATGGTTAGAAACCTTTAAGGGCTAAATGTTATTTCTCTTTGCCACTGCCTCACAATTTTCTTTGTTGCTGTGTTTTCATGTGAATCACAACCCTATCTGAATAGGAGGTGTTAAACAATGTAAGATCGGGAGTTAAAATGGTGGCCATTAACCTGATGCCTTCAACTTAATAGATTTGTCTACTTTCATTTTCTAATACATCCTTCGCTAAGCACACCGGAAAGGCATCTCAAAAGCCATCAAATCTATACATTCCTTCATATAAATGCCATCTTGGGATGCCAATTCCACAGTTTTACTACCTAGTTAGCAACAGTGGTAGAAAACTGGAGTTTGAACCTACAAAAACAGTTGCTTAGTAAGTAAGGACATATGTTCAATCCAAGTTACTTGTGCTATTGCTATGGATACAGCTAGAGTGTAGATGGCTGTTTTATTTTTAAGTTGTAATTATGTATATGTTCTAAGAATGGCTTATGTATTTATTTAGTTTTAGTCAAGGCTGTTTGTAGCTTAGTGAAAACTAATGCTACCACCACGGCTGTAAAGCAGAGGTGATGATGCAGTGTACTGTTTTCTATTTTATATGAAATTCTCATATGCAATATATTCAAGAACTGAAAAGAAATACATATACAGCCGAACCTTGACTTTCACAGGTTTAACTTTCATGAATTTGATTATTTGAGAGTTTGCCATCAATAATTAAATGGGATTTTATATATGTGTGTGTGTGTATAGTTTTGTGGCCTACTTTGGAAAACTGTAATCGTCATAGAAAGAAACAACAGGGGAGAGAAGGAGGCCTCCAAAGCATGCCATCTTGCCCCGCCCATGCAAAGAGGGAATGCTCTCTGGCATTTCCTTGGTGCAAAGAGGTGGCACTGGTGAGTGAAAGCGAGGGCAGGGAATGAGAACATAAGAATGTAATAAATAAAGAGCAGTCTTGCAGGAGAGAGGGAGAAGCAATCCAGTATTCGTACGGTCAACAGTATTAAGAGTTAACATTTGGGATGGGGGAAGAGAGGATTTCTTTATATTTTTCTTATACCACCCAGTAGCCAAAAGGCACTCTGGGCAGTTTCCAAAGTTAACAAAGACATTCACAGTTTTTCCATTTTCAGGGGTCCTGTACTCCTAACCCCTGCAAATGTGGAGGGCCGGCTGTATTCTCTCTCTCTCTCTCACACACACACCCTTACCTTCTAAATACTGAAATATTTCTGTTTCAAACATGTAGACTCATGATTTTGGGCGGACTTCACAAATTGGGCTTGGTATGTAGGAAGAATTGGCAATCTTTGACAACTTCCACCATGGGAACATACACACCACAGCTGTTTAATTTATAAATTTGCCAGTCCTGCTTAGCAAGGAGTTAACTGTCTAATCTATTTGCAAATGGAAAACCCACCACATTTCTTGCTTGCTGTTTGAAAAATGTGTATAATCCAAACATATAGCTAGTGTGTTCTTCTTCCTTCTCTATGTCTCTGTATAGCAGGCGATCCTAAACTTCCTTGGGGATATGTTTCATCTATCAACATTAGGTACTTTGGAAAATACCTTCAAGACTGGAATGTAAAGATATTAATTTTTGCATGCACATTCCATATGTAGAATAAGGCTGATACTCTGCTTGCAACTAGATACTGCCAGGTTCCATACTGGCCTGGTTTGTAACTAATGCTAACAAATCATGGGTTAATTAACCAACCCACAATTTGTCATAGTGCATGTCAGGGACATTCCACCACCATTTAGAATACTCAATTCCCAATAAAGCCGATTGAGGGCCCCTATATGATGTCCAAACCCAGGCATTATAGGTTAACCATGGCTTAAACAACCCACAGATAACCTACAATGATTGACCTATACTTTCTGGGTTTGGGCATTATGTAGCAATCTTCAAGAAGTGATCAGGGGATGAATAAGTGTACACCTGTGGAATATGCCAGGGCATGTACCACAAATTAAATTAACCCACATTTTGATACCTTTACGTGCGAATGACCCAAGGACTCTAAGGAACTACCACAATATTTCACCTAAAACAACATCCAAGGGAAATCTGCTGATGGAAAAACATCTTTTCTTTTGTTCAAAACAGAAACTGTGTTTATGAAAACTCAGACTAAAATAAAAGATAGCAATGAACAATACAGAAATTGGTTGTGAGTAAAGCATTCATTAAATTGTACATTAAAATCAGTCCATCAGAAGACTACATTTTAAAAGTTTTCAAAAACAGAGATATTAAATTCCCCCTCCCATAAATGCTAACAGAGCTGAATACCTGCAGGTACCATTGGGAAGGAATTATTGAAAACCAGAGCAACCAAAAAGCTCTGCTGCTAGAGATAGGGACACATGTCGGAGTGAGGGCCTTTCGTGTTGATCTTGCTTGCCTGGTTTAAAAATCCTGCCCACTTTTAATCTCTCCCAAGTAATGACTGTGCAGTAGTGGTGACCACAGGCTCACTTTGTGGCATCAAGCTAAACCATGACTTTTGCTAACCATAGTTTAGTATCTAAACCATGCTCTGATTTACCAAACAGATAACAGACAAACAATTGATAGGGCTGTTTGCCTAGTTCTGATTTCCATCTTGGCACTTTACTTCCTAAGTTAACTCTTGTCTCCATAGTACAACAATCCCTGGAGACTGGACACTGTCCAAAACCCTGGCTGTCAATTCAAAAATTGCATGAACCATGTGACAGGCTAGGACATTAAAGCTGCCAACAATGGTATACTTACTTTGAAGTAAAGCCCAATGAAAGTAGCACAGAATTAGACAATCAAATACAAAGTATGAGCAGTATCCAAGTCAGCAAGGGAAGCCCTGAAGTAAACTACGTTGCACTAGCATAAGGAAACTTTACTACAACACCAACAGTATTAGCTAACGTATCAAGTGTTCTGGGGAATTCTGTTGTATCACCTAAAGCTGGAAAGCTGCTAAGCTTACACAAGGTAACTGCTTGTGTCAACTTAGAAAGTGCTTAAACAAAGTCAACAAAAGGATGAGCTAACGAATAAGTGATTACTATTTTCCTTATTATAACAAAGGGATTGGAATCACATATATATTGGTTCATATCAAATGTACTGAAATGAGGGAACAACAGACCTAAGGGTCAAATGCTAGGTGATTCCATTTCAGTCTAAATTAATTTCAGCTTTCGTGTTTCTTTGTTAATTCATATTGTGCAGATGCAGCCCAGATTTATCCTTGGGGAACAAAATTAAATAAATTTCTATCTATTTATACATTTTTCACATTCAGATGTGGCAGGAAATGCACCACCTGATCTGAGTTTCATAGGCAGGGAAAATGTTTCCAATGACAATTGTCTTATGCCAAATGGGTTTTATTACAGATGCCATCTCTATGTGCCATATTAATGCAGCTCTTTCTTCTCAATTCAAGATCTTAATCACAGTTTGTTCCTCCAATATTTTATTGGTTTAGAATACATGCTGTAAAATCCCAACCATCAAATTTCCTTGTGAGCTAAAAATAAAGTGGCCATGTCAGATATGGTTAGTTGATAAAAAGCATCAGAGTGTCCCCCGCACTTTAGATAACTTCCTGTTTATGTGGCACAGATCCTTGCCTAATAAAGATATTTTGCTGTTCACAGTAAGGAAAGATATTGCAACAAGCTATTCCTTAATGGACAATGCTGATTACTTTTGAAAGCATTTAATACATTTCCCATATTCAACATGAACAGATGTCAGGGACTATGCCAAGTGAAATTTTGTTTTATGCAATCTTGGCTTGTTTTACAAGAATAGCCCTTTCTCAACATGGGAAAAAATTACAGACCCAACCAATTTCCTTGACAGGGGAAGAGTTACATATGTTTTCCACTCAGAGCTTTTTTTTTTTTTTTTTAACAAGTTTACAGTTTTGCCAAACCTGGAACTAATTGGGACTGTTTCCAAAAAAAGCCCAAAGTGTGTATATGCATACTACATGACAGTTTCCTCTGTGAGTGTGTTTTGAAAAAGGAGAAAAAAAAACAACAACAACAAAACAAGGGAAAATTAGATTGCACTTTTTTTTCATTTAAGTCACTTAAACACTTACTGTTTCATATCCTCCCAGTTTTTGAGCAGCTTGAAACATAGTCCAAAGGTTAACTGTTAGAGGGACAATAAGTATTTAGATAAGCATTGCATTAACCAACGTCTTTCAAAGAAATGCAAATCAAACAGATTTTCTTTTACAATGAAGCAAAAAGATAACGATCACACACACAAAAAGGTTTAGAAAAAACACACAAACAATCTGCAAATGACATTTACTTAATTCAAAGAATAAACATTAGGATTGCACATATGCCATTCTTTTCTTAAAATCACATGGGAAACATTCTATGGAGATACAGTTACAGGTATAAAAGCAATGATTACTGAGTTTAAATCATTTCCCGGATAAGAAAAAACAACTCCTTTACAAAACAACATCCACCCCAACCTTTGTTTTATATGTTCCTATATAAAATAATTGTGTTAGTTATTAGAAAAGAACATTTCTTTTAAATGTGATCTACCTAATGCAGCAATAAACTGGAGTGCATACAAAGCAGTCATTGATTAAACAACTATTCAGTGCCGCTCAGATAACAGAATTTGGCTGAGATCCAGAAAAGGCTTCTACATATGAAGCAGCTATTTTCTTCAGGCATGGAGCCTGCAGGGTGAAGAAAATAGAAGCGTACCCAGAGAGAGCCTTCCATAAAGCAATAGCTATGGCAGACAATCTGACTGTTGTAGCCCAGCATTCTCAAAGTCACCACAAGTCAGATCATGCACTGCTTTATTTGCAGTTCCAAAAATATCTCCACTCCCCAGTAGCTAGATGAGGCACTTGTGCATGCACAGGTAGAAGTGTGTTCCATACAACTTGCTGTTCACACAATGTATGCATGAGCCCAAGTGTCATCTTTTTCCCTTCCAAATAATGTATGGATAAATTGCTGACTAGTTGCATTTATTTATAATATTTATATGCATTTATTTATAATATTTATATTCTGCCTTTTTCCTTTCAAGGAACTCAAGATAGTGTGCATAATTCTCCTCATCTTCTCCATCTTATGCTCACAACAACCACCCTATGACGTAGGTTGTTTTGAGAGTCTGCAACTGGCCCAAAGCCACCCAGTTAGCGACAAGGCTGAATGGGAACTAGAACCCAGGTTGCCTGCAGCTCAGTCCCACATTTGTAACCACTACTCCACACTGGCTCCGAACACTTAGCCCAATGGGCTTTGAGCTCTGTATCCACCAGGAACATTTTCCCTGTCGAGCATCTGTTAGGGAGCTTCTGGGATCTATCATGGCAGCTGTGTATGTGGAAGAGTGGGCAACCCTCTGGGATATACAGTTAGTTCCTCCAGAGCCCTTTCTTGGTCTGTTGGGCCTCAGTATCGTCCCATGAGTATTCCCAGTGTGCCCTGAAATTCATCCAACACTGCCCTGCAGCTCCATGGTTTAGAGGACAGTTAGAAACAGATGGGTAAGCTGTCCTTACTTGTTCATTTTTGTCAACCTTTTCACAGAACCCCAAGGAACATCTGGGTTCCTCTGAACCCAGTGTAAAAAATCCAGTAAGTAAGCCCATCCAGTCATGTGATATTTTAGAAAGCTCAATGGCAAAGACTCAGAAAACTCTTACTGCTGTACAGCCTCTTTTCAAATTATGCTGTGGCTGGATTTGATCAAAGGCAAGCCTATGCCCTGGTTACCATACAAGGCATGGACAAGTCTATGAAAAGGTGGAGCTGCAAAGACAGAAACGTATGTTGGGACAATAGTTTATTGTGGCCTTCCCCAACATGGTAGTCTATAGAAGTTTTGGACTTCAGTTCGCATCAGACCCTGTCAAGATGGCAAATGATCAGGAATACTGGAAACTGTAGTCTAAAATATATGGAGGGACTCACTTCACTGTATAATGCCTGTATTTGCCCCGTAATGCATGACATTTTGCTTCAAGGGAATTCACTGCCTCCATCACATTGTAAAACTGAAATGTTCAAATTGTCAGCCAAGTACAAGTTCCCAGGTTCTTGTGCTCATGAAAGTAAATTTTAGAAGGCAACAGGAACATCTATGAAAGCTGTGAAGCTTGAGAAAGCCCTGTGAGGAACTTCTACTGAATGGGAACAGGGGGGGGGGGGAATATTTTATCTAATTCTTTCATGCATTCATTTAGTTCCATGTACCACAGACATGCCTATCTTATATGTCCATCATGAAAGCTTTCCTTTTGTTCTTTGCTGAGTTTTCCATTTTGCACTTAGCATAGAATACATAACAACCATGTGTACCAATGCTTTAAAAATGTCTACTACTACTGAAATGAGTGTCTAATGAAGCTAACTTGATGGGCATCATTAGACTGGATGGACTGTAGAATTTTGGTTTACAATAGCAAATACCCTTAAGCATCTTAGTAACAATCAACATGGACATTTCAGAATGGCTAACTAAAGCTTAGTCCATAGCAGAGATGTGATAAGGAAATTTGCAAATGCAGTCTTTCTGCATGATGTGGATGTCATTCATTATTAGAACACACATCAAAGAAAATTAGACAGAAGAATAGTTTGATATTATTTTCTGTATGATCATGAATTTGTAATTTTGTGTATGTCTGTGTTTTGATTGCTATTCTTAAGCTTTACATGAAGAAGGGAAGCTACATATCCTCAAAACACTTTTTATGGTGTTTTATAATGAGAGGTATAAAAATGCAGTAAAAATAGACCCAACCACATTTTGGTCCTCTTTCCCATTGTCCTGCCAAGCCTCCACTATTCCAGAAAAAAGCTTCTTATGCCAGCCCTGTATGCATTCCCTCCAGAATATTACATAAATTATGGGTGTTGTTCAGTGAGTAATGCTCATTATTGGGCCAGATAGCTGAGCAAAGAAAACTCACTATATTTATTTACCAACAAAAGAATTATACAGTCTAAACCAGTACTTCTGACTCAATACAGTGTTTACACATTTCAGGATAGACAAATACAGTGAGTAATCCAGCCATCATATGAGCAACTCAGCTACACTCAAGTAATCTTGCTGAAACACAAGCAGCACTTAAATACTTTGTAGGACTGGGTGGATGTTGTATATTCATGAATGTTAGCCAGCCCAGTTTATTTCAGCTACATGTTACAGAAAGATTTTACCCTAATAATGGATTACTGAGAGGCAATAATTCTCCCAACCCCACCTCCAGCTTTTTAAATTATGTCTCTTTATTAGGGGCATATGAAGGAAAAAACCCCCATAGCATTAAATACACACACACTCCTCTCAGAACATTCTAAATAAAAAGCCTCACTGAACTCTGTACTTTCCCCTTAAGCTATCAAGAACTTGGCTTAGGCCTTGATTTAATCGAAATCAAATGCATAATGCAACAAAGCTGTTCATAGTACATTAATTTTCCTTCTATTTCAAGCAGCTAGTTTTTCAGGCAAACATTGTAATCATTTTGGAGTTATATAAGTTTCTAATGGCTGCTAGAGGTCTGTTGCAATCAGTGTCAATTGCTATTAGGTATGTAAATTGTTATGTAAAACATACAGGTTTGACATTCTTCATCAAAATAACATACGGTTTTAATCTGGGGAGATAGGTTTGAGTAAGTAATATTCCCAAATACAGCATCCTCCTTTTAGAATAACTTAGATACCTGACAGACTATGAAAAACACACGTTTTACACTTTGTGGTGTTCATTGTTCCATGTTATAAATGTGTATGCAGAATTTAATTACAGCTGCATGCTCTATATCAACTATTGCTTTACAAACTACAATACTCAGAAGTATCTACTCAAAAGCAATTCTTAGTACTGTTTTTGTTAAATAGATCTTGCCTATTTTATAACCAGTTCATTCTGATCTCTAAACTCTGTGACCTTCCTCATTTACTGTCTAGCCATCCTTAAATGTCTTCGTTTAATATCTGTGGGTTCTCCCACCCACCAAAAGTAACATCTGGGCACAATAAAAGCATGCCACATTATTAATTCAAAGAAAGACATCAACTACAGCTTACATCAAAGAGAGAAAAAACAGGAACCTTTTAAACATGCTTATTTCTGCTCATTGGCAGTGTATTTTAAAAGGGTAAGAATGCAGTATTGTATCTGTCCACTCAGAAGTAAGTCCCACTAAATTCAATAGAGCTTACTACCAAGTAAGTGAGTATAGACTACAGCCTAAATTTTCAGCAGCAATTGCCCAGAGGCAAGAGCTAATATAAGACTGGAATGGAAAACGTATGGCCAGATAGAAACACAATGGGTTGGATTCAATGTATTGTTCCACCAGTGGACCAGAAACCACTGGCAGAACAAATTTCCTCCTCCCCTGAAGCTACCCCTCCACACCTCAAACATGCTCCAGAAAATTGGGAAACTCTGTAGAGCACATTTGGGGCACATGTGGGGCTGGAGGGAGGAGGAAAGGGCAGGGAAATCCCATTGTACAGGTGGAAATGCCATTGTGTTGGGTCCATCTTAAAGACAGCAACTTTGGTTGGAAGTACCCCAGTATGTGCAGATTTTCTTTATCTGATTGTCTCAGATCCAAAGAAACAGTTGGTCAGTGATTCTTCCTAAGGGAGCTCTGGGTTTGTGCTTCTCAAACAGCTTCCCCCCATGCCACATGGCAAACCACTTTGTAAACTGAGGAGACTCAAAAGCCGTTTACTTTATGGCATGGAGGCCTGCTGCTCAATGATTTAAAGAGGCCAAAAATCCCACTGGGCATGCCAAAGACCTCAGGCATGGCTAAATAGTCCTTTGGATGCAAACCGTAACAAATATACAATGCAAATAGAAGGAGAAAGCAAAGACCAAGAGGGCCATATCAGCACTCAAAAGTTGGCTGTCCTTACTAAACCAATCAAACGCAGGAGCCAAACTCTTCTAAAAAGTTAACCAAAAACGGAATGAAAATTCTACTTACTCTGCTTAAAACCGAGGTAGGGTATTCGTTCAATTGGTGTTTTTCTTTCTTTCATATATTTATAAAGTGCCACAAGGAATGCCTGTTCATCTGCTCTGCATTCATCACCTACAGAAACCTTTGATTTATTCTCACTGGAGCCCTTTTTACAGGTGTTATTTTTGGTTTTGGGCAAAGGCAATTTAGCCTCACATTTTACCTGGAAGAAAAGAGGAGATTCCAGATTAGATCTCAAAAACTGCCATTCCCATTTAAAAGATAAGTACCTTATTGCCCATTATGTCCTCACTTTCTCAGAATGCCAAGTTGCAGTGCTGTTGCTGATCTTTTGAACATTAACACTCATCTCTGCATTTTAATCACAGGCGCTCCAAATGTTCATTTCCAGAAAGGTCTGCAATGCACAGAAATCAGATGCTGGCCTGCCTTGTGTGTACACGAAGGGCACAAACCCTCAGTGCTGTGGGAGCACCAGTAACTATCCTGCAGCTCAAAGATTCCTCACATTTTAATACGATCGATATATGAATTGTTACATTGTGCTTGCAGGCACTGCTGCTTCCATGAATTGTCCTGCCCTCTCTCTACTTACCACTGCCCATCATAACTGCTAATTAATACAGCCTGCCTGGAGGCACCATGGGATGAAGCCCACAGTGCGCTATGCAGACAGAGGCTGCCTCTGCTCTCCGTGGCTTCCATTCAGTTCTATGGGGCAGTAGACAAGGGTTTCCACATTAGACATGGCTGAGGAGCAGACAAATTCTGCCATTCACTCCAGACACTGATTTCACAGATTTAGCTTCATCTCAGCCATGCATAGCTGAGTCTAACTCTTCACTTTCTCTTGCATATGTGAACAGGTGCCATTCACCTGGACATGGAGTGTACCTGTGGGTACTGTTGTGAACCTTCTGGCTTAGTTCTAGTAAGCATCCCTTTTGTAGATCTTGTGATGTCTAAGAGCAAGGTGTCTTTGTGAGTAAAATGCAGAGACACATCTTATCATCCTGGGGTAGGGGTTTATAATGGGGGGGGGGGTTAACACTATCTCTGACTTTCATACAAATCGGGCGATGCGACATGTGGCCCATCTGACACATGCACCCCAGCCGAAATCTGACAATGTGGGGCAACCCCACCCCATCTCAGTCATTTGCTACTGAACCCTTCCATAAAACATTAATGGAAGTAGAAAACAGACTAAGTTTTATTTTCACTTGTGGCTTGCTGCTGAATTTCAATATCAAGCAACTTGTCTCCTGGTCAGTGATGCACCGGCAGTAGCAGGACTGCAGCCCCAGGGGGTGGAAAACATCACCGTCATAATAAAAAATAACAATGTAGTTCATTTTTATACTGCTTCATAGCCAAAGCTCTCTGGACTGTTTACAACAGTATGAAAACATCAAAATACACTAAAATAACAAAAAATCAAAATAAACAATTAAAAATTAAAAGCAACTCCAAACTTGCAGTGAAGGGTGACTGTATAAAAGAAAAATGCCTGGCATGGGTAATCCCCTCAAGCCCTTGGATAAATAACTGTATCTGTAGATGCCAAGGCTGGCACCGGGCAGGCTGCACTGCCAGGACTGTTCCACAGGTGGGAGGCCATTGCAGAGAAAGTTCTCCCCCTTGCTGCCACCCCTCCAACAGGTATTATATTCCTAAGCCATGTAAGGCATTTTGGGTTAAAACCAGCACTTAGAATTGGGCAAGGAAGTGTACAAGCAGCCAGTGCAAGCAGGCCACACCCTTCAAAGTAGCTCACCTCTGATATACATGACCCAAAACCAACCAGAACGTCGAGGAAGGGACAAAATGCATGTCATTCCAGCCCCAGCCCTGTCATTAGGCAGACTGACTCAGCCAGCAGATGCCCGGGAGCACCAGCAAGGACAGCCCTCCCTCGTCTGCTTGAGCTGGCATCTGGTGCCGGTTTCCTGCTCGTGCCTTGTCTGGGCTGTCTTAACCAAGGAAGCGAGCTCAGCCTACGTGTTCCAGCAGGCATCACAGGCGCACAGCCCAGCTCTGCTCACGGGACACGAGGGAGTGCTAGTCGGCAGCCGAGAGGGCACCAGAAGGAGTTCCCACGTGCCCCATAGCCTCTTATCTAGTCCCTCAGCCATCCTGCTGCTCTCCAGGTGTGGTGGCAGACATTGTTCTGTCACCCGGGTTGAAGTAATATCCAACTGTCAATCGGGTTGCTCTCAGGCAGTAAAATGCCCTGGGGCCCTATTCCGAATCCCAGTAATCTGTGTTTGCCTACAAGGGAAGGAGACAGGTTTAGCGCGTGCCCCCAAAGGTATCTCAGGGTACGTCAAGTTTACTTTTCTGCCATGTGCTTCTGGGGTGAAAGGAGGCCATGTTGCCATGGGAGCAGAACTCAGCTAGGTTTCCGTCTGCACAAACTATATGGTGAATGCAATCGGGTTCCCTTGTACAGCAGACAACAATGCCCCAAGGAAATATTGAAAAGCAAATTATTACAATCATAATAAATCTACTGCATTTATATCACACCTTTCTTCCTCTTGCGAGTATCCTTTCCCTGTGCCATTGAAATAAAAGAGCAATTCTGGCCTCACTTACATCAATGCATATTCATGCAAACATGAAAGACTTGTTAAAAAACTATGTTTGATTATATCAGAAAAGATGGTTAAATACTGGCACATTTGAAAATGAACCAGAACTCCCAGGTATACTGGGGTATTTGTAACACTAATGATGGACACCTTTCTCTTAGACTGAGTTCTATTTACCAGATTTAGTGAATTGCCTGTCAAGGAAATAAAATAGAATGTTAATTCTGGCACTCGAAAATACAGGATGTAAGTTACATGATTCTGTATATTCTTTAGTATACAAAGCTTCCATCCAATCAAACTAACTGCAGGTCAAGCCTCTGCTATGATCAGCTAGCCATGTAATTTTGTAATGCGTAATCAACCATTTTTACGTGATGATTTGTAATAAAATACTCTTGTTGGGGGAGATCGAGAGGGTTACATGATCTATTTTGGAAACCCTTTAAAAAATCATTGCTATGTAAAGGAGACCTTTGAAGACTAAATAACCTAGTGGGAAAACTTCCTTCATGTGCTCAGAACTGGAGTTTTTCTTTAAACAAAGTATCTAGTTTCAGTGTCTTGGGGAGAGGCCTGAACTGCTCTTATTAAAATTGGGCAAGGAAGAGGATATATTCATTGATGGTAGGATAGATGTAGGTACAGATTTAGATAGGAGTTCCTAATGTGACATATTCCAAAAACTTAATTTCTTTAGATTTAAAGGATATTCCGAGTCTTCATGATTATGGCAAATAACTTAGATAATGATTGTTGACACGAATATTGCTAGACCTTGCAAATGTAGGGTTTCTTTTTGGGACTTCTTTTAATTAAAGGGGGATGCAAGTATCCAATTTAAATCTTAAATAGTGTATCTTAAATAGTACACTTGAAGTGGTACTGAAAGGTATCCACAAACTTATTGGGTCCTGAAATCATGTCCAGGTAGCTGAGACGTAGCATCTATGCTGAGAATCACTGTGCTAGCAAGAAAGAGAGTGTTTTGTGCACTTAGCAATGCTGATTTAGAAAAAGAAACCAAATGGGAAAAGTCCTAAGGTACTCTTTTAAATTAGGTTAGGTGTGAAGGACAATGTTTTTGCCTAAGAGCACTGCCCCAAGCACTTTTTTAAGATAGTGCTTTAGAGCTTTGTTAAGAGGAGTAAGATTGGTAAGGCAGGACACTAACCACGGAAATCTCTCTCACTATCCCAGTGTGAATTCTCACACTGAGAACATAATGAAACCCTGAGGTGAGGGTTCTAAACTATCCACCCTGGTGAAAAAGCAATCCGTTCATTTATTGAACCCTTGATTGCCATTGCCACTTCTGTTTTACAAACAAAGATCTGCTACCCAATCCAACCATTTTAGGGCTGAAGAATTTAATAGAGTAAGCACACCTGAAACCGGCATGATTTAATCTGGCACAGACAGAAGTGGAGTGGAGTGCAAGGCTCTTATTAATCATCTGTGCTTGTATTCACTTAAAATATATATTCTCCTCACTCTTGGTTGATGGTTGTATATAGTCTTTCCAACTCGCTCTGCTCTGATAAGACATTTTTTTTGTGGTGGTGTTTTTGTGGTGAGTCTTCTTTAAAAAAAATAATGGTGCAATCCATAACACCCAAATATAATTCATATACAATATGAGAGCCAGTGTATAGTAGTTAACTAGATCCAGGTTCTGGTCCCCTCTAGGCCATGACGCTCCATGGGTGGGTCCGGGCCACTCACTCACTCAGCCCAACCAGCCTCACAGATTTGTTGTGAGGATAAAATGCAAGCCACATCGGGTTCCTCACAAGAGGGGAAAAGGCAGGATAAAAATGCAACAACAACTCTATTGAAACTATTTAAGGTATTTAAATAGGTAAGCTATTTAATCGTCTCTCCTGCCCACGGCACACATTGTGTCTGCATATTTGGCACAAATGCAGCAATCTGGATTGCTTAAGAGGCACTAGAGAAGAGAATGGTCTGTCTGTCAAGGGAGGTGAGTTCCCCAGTATAAGTGAAGTGGTTCTCATTCGAAGTCTGCATTCCACTGCTTCCACCAAACCAAGATTCCATGATCTGAAAACCATTTTTAAGAACTCTTTTTTATAAAAATGTCCCTCTGTCCATGTTTAGCCTTGCTTTCCACATGGTTCAATACAAACATCAATAGATTATAGAGTTGGAAGACAGATATATGGAAAGCTTAAATGCATTCAGTAAATTGGGATGGGGGCAGAGATGGATATACAAAAGCTAAATTAATGTCAAGTGAACTTGTTCTGTATGATGAATTAGGTATTAGCTGAAACTAAGCATGTGAAATTAGTATGGTGTTTCTTAGTAGTGATGCTGGTATGTCCAAAGGCATCAAATGGCAGACAGAATATTCAATGCAACTACCATACTTGAGAGCGAGTTCCATTTAATTCAGTTGGACTTGATTCTCTGTTAGCACACATAATCAGACCACATATGAGTTCTTAATGGTTCTTAATGTATTTCCAAGAGAAAACCTCATTGACAGAAATTCACCACCGTGGGAAAGGTAATAGGAATTGCCACTGTGACCAATGAATAACTTGGACTTGAGGAATCAAAAGTGGGAGGGTGAAAGAGATTG